AATATGATCATTGAACCAGTGTCCACTTCGGCTCAACGTCGTTTGTTGGAACCATTCACCGCTCTCCACAGCGTGCGCAAGTTCACCATAAGCGGTCACGTAAACACTGATTACAAGAACAGTGTTGTCGCGAGGCTCTCGAAACCAGCCCCGAGTGTCGAAGATACTGTCGATCGTGTGATGACCATGTCACGAGAAGCCGTCAAACTCAGTGACCGGGGGTACCATGCGCAAGCAATCCTCAAGTACATGTCAGCCATAGTACAGACATTCACCAAAAACCGGTATCTTACTCCCAAGACTGTTCTTGAGACGGGGCTGCTGGGTGGCCGGACTGAGATGTTCGCATTCAATTACCTCCATTTCATGCTAAGATGCAAGATTGCCATGTGCCATGCAAAGCTCAACGACTGGAAAGAGGCCCATTTCTGGATATGTGATGCCATGGGTATCGAATTCTTTCCCATCGAACTCGCAGAGCTGGTCTACTTGGTAGCGTGGGTGCTGAACGCCGAATCGAGCGAATCGGTGCAGAATTTCGAGAGACTGGTTGAGAGTCTGGATGAAAAACCTACGCAGTCGTACTGGCACCAGGATCTTAGTGAGCTGGAAGAGAAGATGAGGAGCAAGGAGGGGATGGATAGCTTGAGGAACCTGCAAGTAATGATGGAAGGACTGGCCGACCGAGACCGGGTTGGAGGTTGTGAATGAGAGGGAGTTGGAGAACCCAGCAAAAGACTAGCTTACAGATATTATGCTACCAACTAGTTGAATGTCAGTTCCATATCATGCCGAATCGCATTCTCAAAGCTCGAGGTGAACTTGATTTGGACCTATCTAACTCGTCACTGAGAGTTAAAACTCTCTATGCATCTCGTATGGGACTTAATGATTGCGAAAAGAAAAACATCTCCACTGTAAAAGGAGTCGCACTGAAATCGTACCTAGCGCTGACACTAGCATATGAAAGTAGGTAGTCACGGTAGGAATCAACCCTACCTCCCTCCAAGAACTTATAAGATGTCTGCAAGTGGTTCGCGTGGACCGCATCCTTCCAAGCTTTAGATGGGTGGGTGGTGGAATGGCCTGTGGGTAGAGACGCGCTATATACGCACAATGCTCTTACGTTCAGATAACGGGAACAGCTATCGGAGTTTTTGGCTGTGGCAGCCACCACACATGCGGCGGCTGGCATGCATGCTATGATACCTGACACAGTCCATAGGAAGTCTGTAGTTCGGTAGTCTCATCGTAGTACAAAGATGCGGAGGCAGTTTGAACTGTTCACTCACGCTAGAAGGACGATGGCCTCATCAGTAGAATGCGCCAGCAGTTGGACCCTTACCTTACATTTACCACCTCAGCTTCCTCCCATGTTTAACCAGGCAGTTTGATGGGCTTAGGCTTCTAGCCGCCAAAACATTCGGCGGTTTTCGGTGACTTTCCGAATCCCGTTTTTTCTCCACCATGCAGTGAGATTCAATTCGAGTATAGGAGAGAATACTGCACGTAGGTGCCACTACTAGTTTTGATAAATGGAAGTATGCTAGATCAAGAATTGGGAAAATTGACATCGGTCAAATTGGTCTACAGGTCAAATGTCTTCGCCGCTTCGTGGGAAAGGCAGAAAGGTGGACAGAGAGACAGAGAAAGAGCTGCGCAGCGACAAGAAAAGCGAAGATTTCGTTGTTCTACTTGCAGAATGTTGACTCCGATTGTTTTTTTGACGCGCCCTCGGATCATGGCGCCGTAATTTGACTGGTGCATTGTTATACTTCAATCGTCAAGGTCGTAGACGCTGGCGGATCCTGCCCAGTCTTTCTCCACAGGTACAAGCATAAACCCAGCGCCTAGCCGTGGCATCTGTTGGTTGAAACCTTGTTCAACAGTACGGAAAACCTTTCACAAGACATCCCTCCTTGCCCCCATCCACCACACTACGCCACCCTTCCTCTATGCTCAGCGAACCCTAACAGCCCTCCGCCATCACAGTAGTCCATCTGCAAGTTCTCCAGTCAGTAGTTGCCTTCCCAAGATCACAAATTCCGTCAAGAAACAGATTCCTTTCGAACAACATCAAATCAGGATCCGGAGAAATCGCTCACCTCACATTCCCACACCCGTAACAAGCAGTGACCGTTGTCGTCTCAGCACTGGCCGGACACCCGCACGGCACCGTTGTCGTTTCCAGCATCACGAACTGAGGACACGCTTGCAGGTCCTTGAAGCACTCGTCCGGGCGGACCGTCGATGTGATTGTGGGACAGCTGTTTGCGTTTGTGGCGGTCGGGTTGGAGGATGTGATACTGGTGGAGAAGCTGTTGGGAGGGGGAGGGTGGATTCCGTCGAGCGGCATGTGGGTGAGGGAGAGGGGAAGGAGACTGTGGGAGCGTTAGTGTGATGGGTTGGTTGGGTTTGGTGAGCGTGTGGGATAAGTAACCCGGGCGGGAGAGGGAGGAAGGAATAGCGGTGGAAGATATGTGGTGGGGTTGGAGGCCGAGTCATAGCTTCTTCTCCCTTTCCGCGATAGATGGAAACGAAATTTCGAAATCGTGACTGTGGAGGAAAAGGTTTCGAAAGCGCTCACCTTATGACTCCAGCGAGTGCGACCTTGAAGGCGAACATTACGGCAAGTATTCTCTTGAGAAGAGAAAGTGCAGTTCAAAAGATAGACCGATCAGCTTGTAGGCAGTGAGATCTTGATAAACTGGCTGACAGGAGAAAGACGCCGGAAGGATGTATTTTGAAGGAAACTCTTTTCAGAAATATCAAATGCGGAATCAAGCCTCCTTGATGTCGAATCTTTTGCATAATCAAATGGGCGGTGTGTCTTAGACCGTCAATGCTCGCTGGGCCACACTTTGTCTCATATCCGTCATTAGTCACATATCTCAAGTTCATTCCGAGAGAATTTCCAATTTCCGCTGTCAGCATGGAATATCCTGCGAATCTGTGGACAGGTGGAGTTGAAGATCACGATGCAAGGGGTTGATTAAATTGGAACAGGGCATTGTGTTGCTGCAACTAAATCCCATTGTACTCTGCAGCCGCCCTCAAACCGCTTCACCTTCTGCTTGTATTCAATATTCGAACCCGGATCTCCATCAGCTATCGAGGTCGTTTGGAGTACGACTTCTAAATCAAACATGCCACCAGTACTTTCCAGATCATTCAGGTACGCTCAAGGATAAGCTACTGCCAGATTGGGACATAAGATGTTGCGGATTCTTAGGAGGAGGATTGAGTCTGTGTAGGGGAAGTTCCAGGCTGGAACAGGTGGAAGAGGGATTGAGGTGCTAGGATTCCCTATAGAAAGGGTGGCGCTGGCAAGGCTTTTGTATGTCTACCACTACTTCAGAATGGATCTGGATCAAGTCCTCTCTTACGTAGTTTGCGTCACGCAGTCGAACTGGGAGACTGCTAATAGAAGCGACCTCCCTAAAAAGCGAACCGGCAAGTGAGCAAGTCTTCGACCGAAATTCCACCAACTTTCACTCAAGCTCATGCATGAGCAACCTAGAAAGCGGGATAAAACAAAAGCTGACGAAGAGAAATTGGTGGCTGCTAACTCAATCCAATCGAGTTCAATCAGTGACCGAATGCGACATCAAATCCTGTCACAGCCTTAACACACTTCTGAGTCATGTCCGCATTCTGAATATACGTCTGCCTCACCGAAGTCATACCGCAGTACAGCATCCCCACCAACTGACCATGGGCATTGATATCCTACATACCCGATCCCCTTGGCAGCATACAAAATGCTTGGGCAAACAGGTACACATACCACATCAATGATTATAATCAATGATTAAAATCAAGTATGCGTTCACTTCCACCTAGTGAGATTTAGAATTTGTCGATGGTGGGGTCAACAGGCATCTTATTAACTCTGTATGCCCGTGTCTCGAGCAACTTTTGACTGGAAATTATGCAAAACCAGCCAAAGACATGGTAAATCTGCTTACCTCTCGAGCCAGCTTGGATATCTGACGGGACTGGATCGGCTTTCGGTAAGCCTTTGAGATTGGAATACAGGCTGCCCCATCTTGTTCGCTGGAAGAAGTGCAATTGCTGCGCGGGCGGAGTAGGTCTCTGTTACGACAAGAATTTGCATACAATCTTCTGATCGATCTCAACATAGCTCATGACTGTGCTTTTCATGTGACACGCAGAGTTCAAAGAGGACAGCTTGACGTGACAGAAATCGGAGTTCGGAGGTAGTACGTGATGTGGTAGAGTATACCCAAAAAGTCTTCGAATACAGCTTTTCAAATCGACTTGCGTCAGTCATGTTTGATTTCTCTTTAGTTGTGCCATTCATGAAAAACTCGCATCACATGCACATATAGGGGCCCACATAGAGCGTATATAATGACTCCGAAAGAGACGAAATCGAATGACGAGCCATTGACAGGTGCAAAACAGTTGGCTATATAGATCGTACTGGACACCTGTCTCCTACCCCTTGCAGGGGTCCTGACAACGGCCCGAAACAGGGGCATATCCTGTGACCCACTAAACCCCCGTCCCACGTGGCGAACTAAGCAGACATACTCGTATACACCGCCTTCCTAGATACATTTGAGCAGATGATCACCTCAGATGGCGGACACGAGCCTATCTCGGCCCTCACCCATGGGAGGATTCTCCAACGTTATTCGTCGCTCCAACTGATTGATTAGCTATTGTGGGATTGTCTAGGCTAAGCCCATAATCAGCACGAAATGTTGAAGGCGGGTATACACTATCCAGCTTGCAGTAAACAGATAAGAGCATCATTGAGCAGATGATTGGAAACGTTTCAAAGGTAAGCATGATGCCAGGCTTCTCTGAAATCCGTAGGATTTTGCCCGACCGATGAATACTGTGGTTTCAGAGTGGGTTGGCGCTAAGCAACTTCCGTTTCGCCCAACCCACTCTTCTTTCCCTTCCCATCTATCTCTTCCCCAAGTAACACATAGATTCAAACCACAAAAGGAAATCATAATACAACCACAATGAAGCTGACAGACTTTCCAAACGAGATTCTCAAGAATGTCGTCGCCAACATTCCCCTCAACAGCGACCTAGCAAGAGTCACGCTTGTGTCACATCGTTTCAAGAACCTCACCGAACCCCTCCTCTACCGCATCGTTCACCTGGACGCGGAGCCACTCGAGGAATGTCCAGTAGGATTCATACCCACCCTCAAGCGGACAGACCAACTCATCGCAACCCTGAAAGCGCGTCCGGAACTCGGCAGATACACCACCGCCTTCTCCTTGAGAGTCACCCACTTTCCCTGGTACCACAGCTATCCCCAGATCAGCATCATCCGTCGCATGCCGGGACTGCGCAAGCTTTCATACGACCCACCCGCTATTCATGGCGGTGGTACCCCCACTGAATGCAAGGACCTCACGGCCCAACGGTTCGATTTCAGTCATGTCACGAACCATTATAACGCAAATGGTGGCCGCCTGTGGTTGGAACTTGGCGTCCCCTTGGAGATCGTAGCCAAGCACCTTTGGGGGCCATCGGTACGGAAGGTACAGGCCGAGAAGCTCTTCTTCACGGATAAATTCGAGCTTGAGAAATGTCTTGATCAGCGTCGAATCCGTGCTGGTCTTTCGGCTGTGGAGGACCTTCGATTCCTGAATTGCTGTCCGCGCATCCATGGCGATTCTGTAACGGCATTCCTAAACGCTGTCATACACTTGAGATGCTTCGTTTTCGAGATCAAATCACCTTGGGAGCCTCTGATGGTGCCCAACGACCCGGCACACGAGATTGATCTCAGACCCGCACTGCTAGCCCATCTATCAACAATCGAAGAACTTGCACTCTCTACAACGGGCCATGCTCTCAGGAATTACCAACCGGTGCAGTCTCCTGGTTCATTCGTCCAGTGGACCGCCCTCAAACGGCTAGCGGTGCCTTATGCCACGCTGTCTCACGCCATGTTGCATGAAGTCCTACCACCACAGTTGGAAGAGCTCCAGCTCGAAAGGCTGAATTGCTGCGAGGAGAAGCCAGCCGGCCCGGAGGATGATCTCGTGTTGTTCCGGGAGCTTGCGAAGAATAAGGAAGTGTGTGTGCCTGGGCTCAAACGTCTAATCTGGTGGCTCCAGCATCCCTCCGCACAAGATCCCAACGACCATAACTTATTCCAATTATCCGTTGTTGAGGGGTTGGGGCTGGAGACATTCAAGAATGTGGGCGTGAGGTTTGAGTGGATCTCAACACCCTTTTTCAAGGACACACCGTTTGGTCAACGACTATACGAGTGGTGAAAGGTAGACCAAACAGGACGGCAAGCATCTAAAGGAATTTGCAAGTTTTCATGCAGTCTTTTGTCTTTATACGTCCCACGCCGGGCCCTGGCCCAGAAAATGTACACTGCGGACACCTGAGCAAGAGCTAGACAGTGCGAAGGCAAGGGCAAAATGTCGAGACAAGGTGTACCCCCAAGAGCTGGCAATGCTAGCTTTGTGAACAAATGTGTGCAAACAGCCAAGATACTGCGTTAACGTGATGCAAGGCTAAGCTCGGCAACGATCGTTTCCTGAATAAGCCTGCCGAGATATTCCGTCAACGTGTTGCTAGGTGAACCCAGCCAGTTCAGATTCCAAGCTCAACTCCGTCTGATAGCGCCACCTTATCATGGATGGGGCCGACTGTGGTAGTCGATAACGATATGTCGACAGCCCAAACAAATTGTCAACACCCTGAGGTGCTGAGCCAAGGACAACAATCCCTCAGCTTGGAACTTCTCGATATCGCCATTCACCCGAGGTCGGAGTCCACTACAGACCCCGACCGCTTATGCGTCCAGTATCACTGTTTCCCCAATCCCTCCATCTTACCCTTCACCCACCCCTCCCACCACATCGGCTCCCTTCCCAGCACCCACCTCATCACATTCGTACTCCCCACCAACCCCCCGTAGTTATAATAGAGTAGCAGCCTCTGCGCAACATCCCTCGTGTGCGGATTCTCACCTAGACCAAACATAGTTTCTACAGGCTAATCTCTCTCCATAGTCTTCTGAAACGGCATCTTTTCGACTTTGATGTCCTTGCCAACGACTTTGCTCACTATTTTGCAAACTCCGCCATAGTCCATAGGCGGAGAGGTGGAGACCATTCGATAAGTCGCATAGAAATGGTCCTCGCGCCGATCGAGGATAGCGGATGAAGCTTCCGCGAGATCGTACAGAGACGTGTAGCAGAAGGGAACATCGGGGTTCCAAAGCGCGCGGTAAACCGGCCGCTCGTCAGATAGTATCTCCCGGATCGGGAACGGGTCGATGAAATTGGAGGGTTGAAGGATGGTGTAGGGCAAGCCGGACTCGATCAGTGCTTCCTCGACGTAGCGCTTGCAGACGTGGATTAGGAGTTTGCGGAGGCAGGGGTGCAGGACGGAGACTCGAGTAGGTGAAGTGTTTGAGGTTGTTGGTCAGAGCGGCGTTGATCATGCGATAGCTGCAACGGGAGCTGGTCAGCGAGAGAGTTCGTACGCGTGAGTAGAGGAATGTTGGACCCGATCTTTGTTTCTCTCGGATGGAAAGTTGGTTTGACATGATACACTGCTGTGATACCTTCTAGTATCCTCTTACAGTCATCTGGCTGCGTCAAATCCGCCAGGACAACCTCGATTTGCGCTTTAGACTCGCCGGCATATTTTTCGAGGAGCTGTTGGCGGGAAGAGTCATTGCTGACTGCTAGGCGTAAACGCTTCCTTTTGGGGAGCAGGAATGGGATGAGCTGGTTACATGGCTTGCCGTTGGCGCAGGTGAGGAGGATGATGTCATTTCCATGGTCGATAGGCATAATGGGAGACTGCTGTGTGGATTGTGGGTGGTGTTGGTGTGGCTGTGAATATGGATTGAAGGCGAGGGACGGAGGATAAAGTGGCGGACGAGAAGAAGCGTAGAGCGACGTCATAATCTCATGCCTGATATCATCATGCCATGAATGTGAAATGCAGGGCATTGCGTTCGGCGCGGAAAAAGGGAAGGAAGAGATGTTGCGGCATGGGATCCGCCGTAGAGGAGATGAGGAAAAGGATGAGATCAGCCTGTCAAGGTCCTTGATATGAAGACAGAGCTATCTGATAAGGAAATTTCACAAATATTGCTTGCTTTCGAGGATTTTCGGAGAAAGGGAATACAACAAATCCTTAGAAGGCGGTAAGGTCAGGCCCATTGCCAAATTCCAAATCCCATATCCGGGGATTAGAGCATAACCGCCTATGGTCTTTACAGTGGAATAGTTGCGTCCCTATCTATGGGTTCGACTTGACAAACTCGACACCTGCAAGTAGAAATTAGTCGTGGTGCGCTTCTAGGAAGGAGGGTTCAATGCTGGCGCGGAAGACATACCTTTCACAATATTTTTCTTTAGATCTTTCAGGGCAACATCCAATAGTTCCTGTTCCTTGGGTGTGATCTTACCCACATCATGGATCTTTTCTACCCCATTTGGTCCTAGCTCCACCTTCGAGGCGAAGAAGTCGATGCCTTGGTCCTTATATAGCGGGCTGTCAACAAACGTGGGCTCCACAACGCCCTTCTGTCCCTGAGCAGCCTTGAGCAAACTCTCGGCGAAGCGAGCACCAGCCATGGCCATCGAGAGCGTAGCTGATCCAGCACCGTCCTTTGCCTTCACAACCTCATCACCGCCAAATTGCACACGGAAGACGAAGTCATCCAAATCCTTGCCCTCAAGACTGTATCCCGATTGGCTCAAGAGTGGCACGATCGTGGCACCTGAGTGCCCTCCCACAACCGTGATGTTCTCATCAGCGGGATCCGTGCTCTTGTGTTGCGAGATGAAACGGCTCGCGCGGACGACATCCAGGGTTGTAACGCCGAAGAGACGTTTGGGGTTGTATGTGCCTTTTGCCTTGAATATCTCGGCGCAGATGGGGACAGTGCTGTTGACAGGGTTGGCGATGACCAGAACGTTGGCATCTGGGGCGGCGTCTGCGACGGCTTTGGCCAGATCCCGGACGATGGAGGCGTTAGTGTTGAAGAGGTCTGTGAGCGGGCTTTGTTAGAAGACTGTTCGGAAGTGGGGGATAGACGTGTATGGGAAATGAGAGAAGAACGGCACCATCGCGGGTCATGCCTGGCTTTCTTGGTACGCCGGCGGGAATTAGGACGATTTCTGCACCAGTGAGAGCTTGTTTCAAGCCATCGGCATCGGGTTGGTAGCCGGTAACAACGCTCTTGGTGTTGATGTGGCCAATATCAGCGGCGACACCTGCCCTCAAGATCAGCGGTGATCCATAGAGTATAGCTTCTGTTGCTGACCAGGTCCGCCTTTGATATCGTATAGGGCAAGCTCGGTGACCCGAGGGTTCAGCTTCATCAGCAAGGATAGTGGCTGTCCAATACCCCCCGCACCACCTAGAACGGTGACTTTGGATGCCTGACGAGCACTGTCAGTGCCATGATGAGTTTTCGGGGGTTGAGCTGCAGCCATTGGGGCTGGCGGAGCTGTAGGAGCTTCGTACTTGTCTGACTGTTGCTGAGAAAGCTCTCCTCTGGCAAGCGCCGAGAATAGGCCTAGAGGCAAGCATAGTTCTTGAAGCAAGCATAATGTATACAGGTAATGTCGAGCTTAGTTTGAGTGGAAGGATTGAAGCAATTGCAGGATGTGAGATGCGGTCAAATGGGTGAAGAGAGGAAGCTTCGAAAGGTCGGAAGCTCGGCAAATTTCGACATTTTTACCGCGCTATGCCAAATCGACTCTAGCTGCAACTGCTCGAACATTATCACCTTTTTCACCCTCTCCGAGATACCGTGGATATCTTTTCAATCCTATCCTGACGCGGCACGTCATGCACCAATGCTGGTCTGGGGTAAATTTACGCTGGCTTGGGTTATACTGTAGTACATAACCTTGGAAGCACGTCTTTTATTTACGCCATCTGGGTCATCTGTCGCTGAAATTGGGACGAAACCCAGAGATCTCAAATCTGTTCTGATACTTTCAAGTCACAAGATATCCCAATGATACACCACTAAAGGACTATGCAAGGAGTACGCCCCTGTACGTGCCGTATGATATCATTGGGTAGGCGCGTCATTTCCCACCGATTCGTACAGATCGGCTGTTCGTGAGAAACAAGGTAAGCGAAACTCTCGGTAGGTATACATTTTGTAGCGTTCGTCGTTGTTGTTGTTGCGTAATGCAAATCGTACATGAGAGGCAATAGCATTGGTGGAGGCTGTCGCCTGCGGCAATATACTTCTGGCTTTTTGCAAGAAATTGATATTTCCGACGTTTCAAGCACTTAGCATCATTGCTTGCTGCTAGTCGACTAATCCGACCTGTCTGTGCGTCTGATTTAAATGAGAACTTCAGATATTTTTTTCACCCATCTTTCCCTCGAAGATTTCCCTCAAATCAAGGGAGAGACGGAAATTCGATACCTGCGTTGCTTACAGGGCGGGGATGTGTATTCTAAACCATCGCTACAATGCTTTTCAAGCTCCTGTCACTATTGCTCTTCGCTTTGGCCCTCTTGCATTCAGTCGGTGCTGAGGACACGGTCAGCAGCGGCAACTATCTCATCCATCTGTGCAACTCCGGACAGCCTGACTCCGAAGCATCCAAGCTGCAAGACCTTCTGCCACAGGTGTACAATGGATTACAAAAAGTGATTGCAGACCTCCAGCTGGGCACCGCTTCCACGCATGGTTACAGCGCGTTTTTCAAGGACGACTCGAGCAAAGCAAAAATACTGCGAGTTTATCAGAGAATGGCCGTTGGTGCTAGTGTCGCGTTGGGCGGCCAAGGCCGCAATATCAATCCCATCACTATACGACACCCAACCTTTGTATGCGCCAACAACGTCCCAGAAACCGACCTCCTCTACCAACAATGCATGCATGCGCCAAACAGCCCACTTATGAGTTGGATGCGGACTGAGTTGATGCCTCTCTGTCCGTTGTTTTGGACAATCAAGAAACAAGCAAGGCTATCTGATTGTCCGCTAGTGGTAGCGAATACTTTAACCCCGAACGATGATCGGTTACTCAAAAACCAGGAGGCTCTTCTTGTTGGCAATCTGGTGCATCTTTATCATCGAGTTTCTGGCGATATGGTTGTCACTATTACGGACGCTTCTGCGCTGAATGTTTCGGAGTCCCTGAAGCATCCGCCAAATTACGCCCTCTACTATGCATGTGAGCACTTAACGTATCTTCCCATTGAGAAGCAGCAATCTCGCTAATATTTTCCACGCTTGGCAGCCGTGCAGGCTGGCTGCACCAACTTTCCCAATATGCAAAACCCACATGACGAGTTGCGCCACCTACTAGAAATATGCGCCAACTGTAGCGAATCCAATACTACACTACCAATCTATTCCGAAATACCCCCGTCCGTACCAGTACCGCCTGATCTCAACACCTTGCAGGGTTTCTGCAATGATGCAGTGTATGCACCAAACGCGACTGTCTGTTGTGATGAGAGCACAGGCCTATGGATGCCAGCGCCAGTGATAAGAGATGGGCCGGCAGCAAGCTCGGTGAGCGCGAGTTGTCCGCAAAATACGGGAGGAACAGGAGGGGCGGACGGAGGGAGTGGAGTGATCAACACAAGGAGAAGGAGGATGATCAACTCAGTAGAGGCACGACTGTAAGCATTACTTGAGGACTAGGGAATATACCGCGATCCATTAGGTCCACTGCAGCGGAGTTCGTCGAAAGCCATTCCTGAGGGTTTCTGGACGATTCTGCTGTCACATGTGGAGGAGGTTGGGATGACGTCCCTCGCCAGGACGCCATCGGTCACTAACCGCTAGAGATTTGATAAACGTGTTGCGGCTCGTGCCCAAATTTTCTATCATTTCGCTCCTGTATGGAGCAGTCACATTTGAAATCCGGCTAATCCACATTTTTGTTCATCAAACAAATTTGAGACTTTTCACCCTACTTTTCAACTGAGCCTCTGCCAGTTCGCTCGTGGAAATGAATGTCATGACGTTGCTACCGGATTCAGCCGTCTTGTTGCGGGGACTGTTCAGTGTGCATGCAGCTTGCCATTTCTTCGCCTGACAGATCTCCAAACTTTCGCACCTTCTATTCCCCTAGATCCAAATCTAGCTTGACGTCCAAGAGAACCCCAGTCTGCTGGAAATTTCATCTAAAAGAGGATATAACACACCTTGAGACATTTCTTGGCACAAGGCTCGACTGGGGTCAGCCATGCCACGGTACTTGTCAGGAACTTGCTTTGCCACCAAGCTGATACATCCATTGCGAAACTACTTGTAGATCACGACGCGGACATCTATACGATAGCAGAGGAAGAATGGCCAAGTAACGCGGCTTTGACATATTCCTCTCCTCATCAAGGACGTAGTCCGATGCGCTATCAACACCAAGAGCGGACCAGAGAACAGCATTTCACATGCTGGCCCTGTGCTCCGATGACAAGGATTACGTACGGCAGGTCCTCGCCGCGAGTGCAGGTATTAGCATACTGAAAGTTGACAAGCATGACTTACGTCACATCATGCGCCAAGAGGACTGGCAACGATTTCTGTATGATAGAGCATTCCGGTTCAAAATTCAGATCCCTTAAAGTAGTACTCACACATGGGCGGAAGGGGTCTGCAACCTCTGTCTTGAGAAGACAGACTTGGCCAATTAGAGCTCTCGGGTTAGGAACATTTCTCGGTCAACTACAACGACGCTACGGGCATGGGTCTACGACTCAAACTCCTGCATACTCGAACAATGTGGCAACATAACGCAGCTCACGCAACGACAGAGACCCGGGCGGTCTTTCATGCACATACTGCGGATAATGTGGTAGACTAGCTTCCAGACAGTGCAGCCTGGGCACCAGTGATCTTGCATGCTTGGAAAGACTATTGAGCATTCTCACTAAACACTGCCCGTGCTGCTAGCAATTGTCATCATCATTCGTGGCCCCTCAGCACCGCTAAAGTCCATCACGTTTCGTCCGTCTGCAGACGCTCTTCCAGGTCGGCATGGATCTCCATCTTCGCGTTTGACCTACTGAACATTTCCTACTTGTTCTCAAGCTGGCACTCTACACAGCCTTCCCGGGCTCTCAATCTCCCACTCATCGCTCCCAACAGCCGTGGTAGCGTAGAAGATGTCATGAGGGTCATACTTAGCTTTGATCGAGCGAAGACGCGGGTAATTCGCGCCGTAGAAAGTCTCTTGCCAATTCGGCTGGTAAGGATCTCCCTGCACGCTCATCAGCGTCTTTTTACACAATACCTGGTGAGGGATGCGCGGTGAGACAAAGGACGGGATACCTCGTTGAGATAACATCCCGACCCCGGCGTAATCGCCTCCAACTGCGGCAATAGCACATCCGTCATCTCCTCCTGCAACTCCACCATGTCCGAAAGCGGCGCTGTGAAATTCCAAGGCCTGTTTCTCAAAGTCAGCCCCATCGTTCCCCACGGTCGCCTTGCTCAACCCGGGTTTGGACCATACTCACGTCGTAATGACAGCATCGATCAACGTATCCCTCCAAGCCGGCAAAACCGCATTGTCTACATCCCCCGCCACACTCATATTTACATTTAGCCCTATGCCACAAAATAAAGGCGCTGAATCCTGCTCATTGATTGTTCGTATTGCAGCCGTGAGCGCATCAGTATCATTCTCAACGACCGAGCGCGGAATCAACCGGCCGCCGTACTGCGCGGTGCCGACCTCGATTGGAAGCTGAAACGTGTTGAATTGATCCAAGTACGTAGGAAATTCCGTCGGGCCCGTCATGTTGTATTCGATCCCCAGCCGATTCAATTCATCGATGAAAGGCTGCAGGAGTTCCTTGGCCCTCGACGCCGAAATACCCGGCCCCGTGAAAGGCGTGAGGGTGAAAGCTGCGCTGGTGACGTAGTAGACCGTCATCGCGCCCGCGTCTACGAGCCGGGGCAGATTCGCATGCCAGGCCGTCAGGGCCGCGTAGTACGTATCTGTCGATATACCCTCGCTCGAAAACGTGAGATTGGCACCCGAGACGGGTATGTCGACATGTGCTTTCGACGTCAGCGACCAAACGACACCGTAAGTGCCCCCTCCACCTCCACTCAGCGCCCAATACAGATCCGCATTCTCTCCCGGACTGGCTCTCACGAACTCCCCGGTTCCGGTAACGACTTCCCATTCCAGCGTCTGATCGGCCGCTAAGCCATACTTGGACGCTAAGGCCGAATGGCCGCCTCCTTGCGTGTATCCGCCCGCGAGGCCGACGGTGGGGCATTCGCCTCCGGTGACTGACAGTCCGACTCGGTGTGCGGCGGCGTAGGCTTCGAAGCCTTGGACGCCGGCGCCCATTTTGATGGCTTTGCCGGTGTAGGAAGGGGATTTGTAGTCGGTGAAGGAGATGGTTTTGAGGTAGTGGGTCCAGATCGCGAGGGCGAAGGCGCCGGTTGACTTTCCGTTGTAGCTTTGTTGAGTGGTATTAGGATGGTTGGGGTTGAGATTGGGGGTGGGAATGATTGCGGGAATACTTACTCGTGGCCTGTATTGCGGATGACGAGCCTGATGTTGTTCCTCGTTGCGAATGCGATTCCCTTGGCTACATCGGAGGGCTCGGTGACGTTGATTGCGTAATCTACGTAATTGCCCAAGGTGCAAGGCCGAGACTCCGGCGTGAAAGGGTCGCAGCTTTGATTGGCGTAGAAGGGTGCCATGACAGACGAAGATGACACGTAACTGCTACTCTCAGGATACTTTCAAATCGCGGTACTCCAAGACTCACTGTTCCTGCGGCCAGACCCAGTTCTCCTGCAAAATTTTGCAAACGGTAGCGTTGTAAGTAGGGTCGTGACATGGTGAACCAAGCGGAACGGTAGCAACTAGTCTCCCACCAACGGAGCTGTTAAGTGCTGCCCACTCTGCTGGAGACGGCCAGCAGGTTTCTCCTGGATAACAACGACACTGATTTGTTGATGCGAAAGCTGTGTGGCAGAGGTAGGCTAAGCCTATCGCAAGGACGGAAAGTGAAATCAACATCTTTTCCTGCTGTCTATCGGTAAAGAAGGCAATGCCTTCGGGATTGGGAATATCTTCTTCTATGAAACAATTTGCATACAAGAAAGATCAGGTGAAATGCAAAGCTTTACATACAAAAAAATATGGAGCTTGAAAAGGGAAAAACAAGAAGTCTGGCCGACACGTTGAACAAACAGACTGAGCTAAGCATCCGATGGATCCCTTTAACACTACCCAGCCAAACAACCGAAAGATATCTTTAACACTTACCCAGCTAAGGAACGGAAGGATACCCTTAACACTTACCCCGCGTAGGATTCGACCTGCATATGTTTGTTCCGTACCAAGCCGTGAAGAGGTCGAACAGATAAATCACAAAACAGCGCTACACTTTATTAATTCTCCTGCTGCTTCACAGAATGTCTCATGCATTGCCAAATAACCGAGGTCTCATAAAGAAGTTTTTTTTTTTTTTTTTTTTTTTTTTTTTTTTTTTTTTTTGGTTTTTTTGTTTTTTTTTTTTAGCGCTTGGTTTTTTTTTCATCTCCTAAACTTTTTTTTTTTTTTTTTTTTAATATTTTTTTTTTTAAATATCTTTTTTTTTTTATTTTTAAAAAATATTATTAGTATAAAATTTTTTTTATTAATTTTATTATTAAATAAATATTTATTTATATTTTTTTTAATTTTATAAATTAAATTTTTTTAATTTTATTTTTAAATTTTTAATTTTATATTAATTTAAATTTAAAAAATATTTATTTTTTAATATATTTTTTTTTTTATTTTTTTTTTTAAAATTTTAAAAATTTAAAAATATATATTTAATAAAATTAAAATTATTTTTTATAAAATATTAAATTATATTAAATTATTTAAAATTTATATAAATATTTTAAATAAATTTAAATATATTTTATTAATAAACCTAAGGAGGAGGGTAGGGTAGTTATAAACATAGGAGTTTTTATTTAAAAATAGGAAAGTTTTTTATAAAAAAACAACTAAAATTGTTAGGTTTTCTTTTTTTGGTTTTTGAGTGTCTATATTTAAAAAACCCAAAAAATAACTTAGTTTATCTCCCCGCAGGGCACCTTGGAGAACCCTTTTATAATTTTTTAAAAAATATATTTTTTAAATATTTTTTTTTTTTTTTTTTTTTTTTTTTATTTTTTTTTTTTTTTTTATTTTTATAAAAATTAATTTTTATTAAAAATTATTCTTTTTTATCTATTTTTTTTTTTTTATAAAAATTTTTAAATTTTTTAAAATTTTTATTTTTTTTTTTTTTTTTTTTTTAAAAAAACTAAATTTAAAAAGAGGAATTTTGGAAATTTAATATTTATATAAAAATATAAAACTATTAATATAGATAAAGATAAGCTTATTTATTCTTATTATTTATATTCGATTACGATATTTATTATAAAGAAGATTTTAAATAGAAAAGGCTCACTCTTAAGATTACTAAATTAGCTAATATTCTAAATAGTCTTTATACTATATAAGTAAGACCTAGATATATAAATAATACTCTTTATTAGAAGAGTATAGAAAAGTCTTTATCTTTTAATATAATATATTAATTATAAATACTTTAGTTCTATACTTAAAGTTATAGAACGAGACGCGTATATCCCTCTTCTCGTTCTCTAAGCTATCGTATACCCGCTTTAAGAAATTAAGAACCTTCGTTTATTCTTTTAGCTATAAGTCTCTTAGCGATATTTATTAAATTTAAATAATAGACCGCGTAGTAAATAGAAAGTACTTATTTTTCGAATTAATACTTTTATATAGATTTATATTATTTACCCTTCTTAAATCGCGATTTAAAGATCTTCTTTATATAGTATTTTTAAGCGAAGAAAGAATAATTTTTTAGATAACGTAAATATGCTTTAATAATCTTTTAATTTAAACGCTTTATCTAACTAATATAATTTATTATTTATAAATAAGATTAAGAATTAGCTTTAGATCCTTAATTTCTATTTAAAAGACTTTATCTTATAATATATTTATAATCTTTTAACTAGTCGTCATAGTCTTATCGATATAATTATTAATAGTATATTTATAAAGCGTATTCTTACTATAAAGAAGAGAGTTAATTAATTTTATTTAAGTATATTTTATCGTATAAATATTAAGAGTATAAGAGTATAGACTCGATCGTATTCTTTCTTCTATATATCGCGGAGAATAGATAGTTATTTATCGCCTTTTTAGAAGTAAATTACGATATTCTAAACTTTCTTAAAAATCTAATTAAATTAAATAAGATTCTTAGTAGTATAAGTTATTAATAACTAAATTTTATAATTATTATAAGAGACGTAAAGTATATACTCTCACCTCTTTATTTTTTTTAATATAGTTTATATTATATATATCTTTAACTCTATATTAATAACGATAAAGTTAATATATAAAAGATCGCCTTTAATTTAATATAGAACGCGCTTATTAATATAAAGAGTCTAATTTATATCTATCGTATATTAAAGTATTAATTTTAAGAGACTCGAGATATATAACTCTAAGCTCGATATATATTAATAAATGAATAATACGCTTATAATTAATATTTAAAGAATTGTTAATAATAAAATTTAGTTATATATAGCTATTAAGTACGTTCTAGATCTCTTATATAATTATTTTATATACTTAATTTAATAGAGGCCTAAAAAAAGACTAGCGACTCGATACTTTATAGACTAAATTTAGTTTCTTTAGAAACGTCTATATATTAACTTCGCTATATATACTTAGAGATCTTCTATCGATATATAAAGTTATTACTATAAGATTATTTAATTTATTCTATTTCTCGATAGATAGCTTAGATATATAAAGCTTAGACTAAGTACTCTTAAGGTTTAGAAATATAAATATTATCTTATTTTAATATATAACCTTCTATCTAATCTACTCTTCTTTCTATAAATTTATAATATAGAAATAATTATTAAGAGAGTTCTAAAGGTATAAAAGATATTCTTTAAGATAAATTTTTATACGTAAAGAATTTATAGCTTAATTAATATATTTACTAATATAGAATTTATAGATAACGATCTTTAATTATCTAAGTTAGTTATATTATTATTTAAAAAGCGAGTTCTCAAGTATCTTAATAGTTCTTAAGGAAGCTAATACGTAAAAAGCTCTTTAAATAATCTTATCTCGTTATCTAAAGTATAAAGCTATAGCTATAAGACTAATATAATAAAAAAGTATCAAAATTTAAACTTTTAGAGCTGTCTTTCTCCTAGAGTCTTAATGTTTTTATTTACAAAATAACTACGTAGACTAATCATAGGCTCGAATTTAATGATTACTAAGCTAATACAGAAAATATAGGCCTGTCAGACTTTTATATGGTTAATACCTTTATAGTGGGTTATGATGGGTAAACCTACATCCCTCCTGCTGCAGAAACGATGTTGTGCCAATCCCCGTGCTGGAGTGGCAATTAGCACTGCCCTAATCACGGCCCTACAAGTGACCCTGTCCATGATAATACCCGTCATCGTCTCTGTAGCAGCGATAGCGGCCGTTCGTCCATGCAACGATCCCTGTGTAGTCAATTGCAGGGAGAATGCTGTGGTGCAGCTGCGCCATCAAGAATATAAGACATGTTTGCGATGAGAGCGGGATTTCTTTAATGTTTCCAGTTGACGATCTTGGTGGTTCTTGTCGAATGGTCTAGGACTGCATCCGAGGACCTCCGTTAATCTAGAAGACATGTGGGGACTACAGCGCAGACTTTGGCCACATGCAACCTTTAAACCTTTCAATTGTCAATCTCTTCGATAAACAGTTAGAAGGACGCGGGAGAAAGAGAAAGGAGCGATAAAGTCTTAAATACTTATAAGTTCTCTTTTCTCTTCTTTTTTTTTTTAGTTATTAGTTTATCTAGTAACTAATTTATCTATTCTATTAACTATATATCTAGATCTTATAATTATATAGCTACTACGTAGTTTTATTAAAAGAGATCTTACTATCTTATAGTTCTAATAACTTTATTTATATAAAGTTATTTAATTTAGCTATAGTAAGTAACTCGCGAGTTAATTCTATTAATTTACGAAGTAGAAACGTTTTATTACGATCTATTAGCGACGTTTTTAATCTAATAAATAACTCTTATTAGAATACGCTTATTACGTAATTAAGCGATTATAATATTAATTCTAATATCGATAGAAATTCTAATAATATTATCGACGGAAATAATAATCGTTAAAGCGTTATATCTAATAACTCTTTATCTATAGATAAAGACTCTTATTTTATAGACTTAATTTAAGTTTAACGCTATCGACTTCTAGAGCTTAATACTAAAAAGTAGTTAGTTATCGAAAAACTTAAGCTAATTAAAATATAGAATATATAAGAATATCGCTATAAGTATAGCGATAATTACTATTATAATTCGAGTTATAAGAAGATAAGCGTTATTAAGATATCTAATACGTAATATCTTAATAACTATAACTCGATAGTTATATTTCTTTAAGACTACGACGATTTTATCGCCTTAACGTCTTATATCGATTTTTATATAAATAAAGAAAAGACTCGCTAGTTTTTTACTCTCTTAATAAATACTAAGAAGTAGATTTAAAGAAATATTAGAAATACGATATTATACGATATCGAGAAATCTATCTAAAAGAAATATAAG